TATCACTGGAGCGAATTTAAATTGTGAAACAGAAGGTGTTTAGAATATTTCACTCCACAGACTAGCAAAGAGTTTCTCTCATTTACTCCAAAACAGGGGTGTCAAACTCAAGGCCCGCAGGCTGCATGATGTGGTCAGATTCGGCCTGTGGGGCCATCCTGGTACCCAGTGCTGAAAGATCAGGCTAACGTGGCTTCAGCCTGGTCTACCCAATGTGAAGAGGAAACATGCCAGCAGTTTGGGAGTGGTGTCAAGCTGGCCATGCCCATCCAGTGGTCATACCACCCAGTTGGCCACACCCACCCAGTGAGCCGTGCCCACCTGGCCCTCCAAGGTCAATCACAGCCCTGATGTGGCCCTCATTAAAGTTGACTTTGACACTCCAGCTCTAAAAAATCAAGAACAGGGAAGCAATAGAAGTGCATGGAATGGCAGAGAGGAATAGGAGACAAATGTTTGATTATGTATTGTGGAGAACATAACACCATTCGGCCCAGATCATTCCAGATTCTGAAGTTACCTACGTTAGCTGTACCACTCTGCTATATTGCTGTAATGCTGACCAGAAGGCTGGCTAAATACAAGAACCCAATGTGAAGAAGCCAATGTCCATACAAGATCAAGAAAAGACAAAAAATCTTTTATTTCTGTTCAGAAGTAGAAGAGGACACTTCTGAGTTTCACACCCAAGGAGCACATCAGAAATCGGGCTGAGTTATTTTTATGCAATACAAAAAGAGAATTGCCAGTTGGTTACGTGACAGCCACACATGTGCACAAAGACATCCCATAATACTCTATTAATTAATTAATCTTACTTCATTATCATATACATTGACTACCCCTCGGTATGTTTTTATTATGCTAATGATAAACTTTGCACTTCCGCGGATTCTTGTCCGGACACCTCTAACCATTGCTTAAGCTAAATTTCATGTTGCCTTCCTTGAATCCAGTAATGAGTTCACTTGCAAAGTGCCTTAGCTGAGTGACAAATCTACAACTTGTTAGTCTATATAGTAGACATTTATGGTCAGTCTATGGAGTGTTTTTGGTCAACCTCTCTTGCTCTTGCTGGCAGGTATTAAAACGTGTTCCCTAGTACAGTGGTCGCCAACTAGTGGGCCGGGGACCATTGGTGGTCCGTGAGAAAATTTTGGTGGTCCGCAGAGAAATGTCACCCCCAAAGCAATTAATCCAGGCTGCGCTCGAACACAAGGCTGTGCTGCCCACATGGCCCGGGGGAACGCAAGGCTTGCATCGCTTGCATTACGAACAACACGAGGTAGTGAGGGGAGCGGGGGAAAGGGTGGAGAAGGAGCTTGCCTCACGCACCTGGCCTGGCCACTGGGCTGCTTCTTCCCGCTTGTTTCTTCTTCTGCTTTTGGCTGCACACAAGGAAAGCAGCAAAAATCTTTCTTTCTCTTCCCCAAACTCCGCCAGAAAGGCATCTTTGGGACCCTGCAAGGCATCCTGCTCCAAGAGGCTGCACCAGCATGACATGATGGAGTTTGGCGGAGAGAAAGACAGACTTCTGTTGCTTTCCTTGCATGAAGCCAAAAGTCTCTCTCGCTTTCTGTCCCCCTGAGAACAGAGCTGGAGACGGTATCTTGCGATCCCAAATAAAGAATGATCATAGGAAAATGGGGTGGGGAATTTTCCTGCAGATTTTTTTTTGGGGGGGGGGATTTTCCCAGGGTCTCTTTCTGCAGAGACCCTGGGAAAATGTCAGCAAGCCACTGTCAGTCAAAATTCATATTAGTGGTCCGAGGGATTTAAAATTATGAGTCTGGTGATCCCTGGGGTCCAAAAGGTTGGTGACCCCTGCCCTAGTAGGCACAGGACAACTAATAGCTCTGCCTGAAGTTAATTCATAACTTACAAAAAGCTTCTAATTACTTATTAATAAGCTAATAAAAACTAGGCAAATTTCCATGCAGTAGGAGGCACAGGATATTTCTGTTGTCGACATCTTCTACATCAACACCAGCACTGGTAGCCTTATTTACCCTAATGCTAGGCTCTGCCATTAATCAACAAAACACATGATTGTGGAAAATACAACAGTTATATAAGGCCTTCTGTTTAAATCCCATTTAAGCAATTTCACAGAATTTAAGTAATTCCTCTGGGATATTAATTATGAAAAAATGGAACTTGAGAAAATAGCATCTCTGGTTCAGATCAAAGTTCAAAAGGACTTCTCTTAGTTACACAATCATATATATGAAAGAATGAAGAGCTGCCACGTTAGACTCAACAACAGGAGAATGGCAGTCAAGTAGTCCTAATTAATATGAAACACACTTCATCTTTTGTTGCATCTTTCTCTGAATAGTTTGTTGAGGAAAATGTCTTTCTGGCTCAGAGATATGTCAATTTACAGTTTAAATTATTTTGGATGTATTATAATTATTATTTATGGATTCTATGGCAGCATTCATAGAAAATATGGGACAAATTATGGAACATGTTGAAGGCTGAATTACTGCACTTTGTCAATGACATGTTAGGATTAAAATAATTTGTTAGAATTGATACAAATAGAGAGGCTATAGAAAATGTCCAAGGCAATTCTTTCTTATCAGAACTGCCTGAGTCATTTACAAAGAACCTACTACCAGCAGAGGGAATTATGGTTGATTTAACAAATATTCCAATATTCAGCCAGTTTGTGCCTGCAATTGCAATTGTGGCCGATGAAAGCTTTTTTTAAAAAAAACCTCTCCCTCTTTCTCAGTATGTGGGTGAGGGTGGGACCATTAAATACAAATTTCTGTTAAAACCAAATACATGTCATGTCATTAAAGTTAGGTAATTTGTGTAATAATTTGAGATAAATGGGTCCATTTGCAGTAAAACCTCTCTTTAACAGACAAATCCTTAATGGAGATGAAGTTTGATTATATGCAAAGTCTGTTCAGCTGTGATCCATAAGCCAAGTTTTTATATCAAAGTATGTACAGTTCTTAATACATTGTTTAGGGAGCCAATGCCCTAAACCATTATATTAAAATAAGAAAAGGGATAAAAATTATGGGAAGGAAGGAAATCAAGAGACCAGTCATACAACTTGGAGAAATGGTTTTTCAGAGAAATAAACAGAGCTTTTTAAAAATGACATTAATTAGCATTCCCAAATCAAAGCAAAGAGTGATCTCTGCAGGTTTTGATGTATCATCACGGAAAATGCCAGGTTATGCAGCCACAGAATTTTTTCAATTGCCTTTTCTTCAGGGAGGAAAGTTTATTACAGGGTAGTTGAAGTGTTACCAGAGGAAGTTGAAAAGCCGGATCCCTTCCTATATCGCATCAGGATCTCTTTGCTGATGATACCTCGTGAGACCAAGATCTTGAGGAAGTTGTTCCGGAATTTCTGTCCTATAAAGGCGTATATGATGGGGTTGATACAGCTGTGAGCAACGCCCAAAATCTCAGTGCTCAACAAAGCTTCATCAATTCTTTCTCGAACTGAGCAAGTGTCCGTAATGATGTCCATCCTCAACAAAGTATCAAAAAGCAGGGCGATGTTGTAAGGCAGCCAACAGATCACGAAGACCAGCACTACAGCCAAGATTACTTTCATTGCCTTCTTCTTTTGCTTGTTCTTCATCTGGTAGAGTCTGTGCGTTGTTATTCCGTAGCAAATCATCATGACAGTCAAGGGGAGGAGAAAACCAAACACCTGAGGTAAAATTCTCAGTACTATCCTCCATTCAGCTGTTTGATTCCCACCAATGTTCTCATAACAAACCCTGTTAGAGAAATTTGAGAGTTTAAAAGCTTCCCGGAAGCGGATCACAGGAAGCGAAAAGAGGAACGCGAAGAGCCAGATGCCGATGCAGACAAATTTGACCCAGTGCCTCTTCTGAGTGGCTGCCCGAGTCGCATAAACTATGGCCAAATAACGATCAAAACTGATAAAGGCCAATAGGAGGACACCACTGTAGAAGTTGACTTCCTTCAGGACTGAGG